GTGTTAATTTCAACATTTTTATTATTACTACTACTACTACTACTACTACTAGTATGGTTCAGTACTGTTTTTTTAATAAAGCATTATTTTAGTTTTTATTCAGTATCCATTTTAAAAACTATCTGTTAATTAATCGGTATCGGCCAGTGTGGTCCAACCTAGCTATCGGTATCGGCAAAATCCACTGTCGGTCGACCTCTAGTCAGCACAGTTACGGTTCCTTAAGGTCTTTCCGGTATTTGTTTGTTCTTGATAGCCCAACAACTTCTGACCATGATGCATTTCAGATCAGAAGGAGGTTTAACACACTATCAGGGTTTATGTGTTTATGTTGAGTTGTGAGAGTTCATAAGCTCACCACACCTGGAGTGTTAATAGTTGAAGTGTTATTGTTTGGGGCCCTGGGTGTTAAAACTGTTGCAGTTTAAATGGTTTTGTTATGCTTTCTGTTTCTCATTGATCTGTTAAGTAACATTTTGTTCTCATAATTCAAGTTTCTTAGTACACTTTCTTCTTCTTTTGTTAAATGTTTTTTGGTAGTTCTTCTTTTCCTCTCTTTCTGCTTTTGCATAGTGCCTTCCTGTTTCTCTATGTCTGTTTTGTTCCCGCCGTCTCGAGCGACCGCCCCCATCCGTTTCGTGTCCATGGAGATCAAGTGCACTGTGGCGGTCTGTGCGACCATGTGGTCATTGATTGGTTTGATTGTTCTGAGTTCATCCTCCTGAGCCCCTGTGTGTGTTTTACGGCCCCAGCCACTTACCCTTTGGTTGTCCCAAGAGGAATATCTCAATTTTGTCCATCAGTGGTTTGCTGAAAATTGGCATCTTAATTTGGTTTATCTGACCTTTCTCCGACTGGACGCTTGTGTATCAAATCTAGAGGCTCTCAAAAGGTAAAGTGTGCAATTTTGGCACCATTAGTGCCACCAAATGGAATTATAAAAGCAATTAGATCATTACTTTTAAGAAAAAATGAGAGTGATTGCTCAGAATGTGATCTGGTTGCTTAGGTTTGCTTGTGAATTATAATCAGGCTTTCCATAGAGCTTCAGTCTTCATGTCCAAGTATACGTCAATATCCCATCTGGCCAAAATATATATTACTTACTGTATATATATATATAGAGAGAGAGAGAGAGAGAGAGAGAGAAAGAGAGATATATTTTGTAATACATTTTTGCATTTTACAAGATATTTTAAATTTTAAATTTGTATTTTCGTAAGCAGTGCTATTTACAAAATATATTTAGCATATATTTGAAATGCATTTTTTTGGCCAGAATTTATTTATTTATTTATTGTATGGGATTAAATACACTTAACTCTGCACATTAACTCGGAGCAAGCACAGTCAAAGTTCAATTAATGCTTCAATCACATTATCTAGGTTCGTTTCATTAAAACATTTACTTCTAAAAAGGTGAATTAGTTCAACTGAATATATATATAGAGAGAGAGAGAGAGAGAGAAAGAGAGATATATTTTGTAATACATTTTTGCATTTTACAAGATATTTTAAATTTGAAATTTGTATTTTCGTAAGCAGTGCTATTTACAAAATATATTTAGCATATATTTGAAATGCATTTTTTTGGCCAGAATTTATTTATTTATTTATTGTATGGGATTAAATACACTTAACTCTGCACATTAACTCGGAGCAAGCACAGTCAAAGTTCAATTAATGCTTCAATCACATTATCTAGGTTCGTTTCATTAAAACATTTACTTCTAAAAAGGTGAATTAGTTCAACTGAAAGTTTTAAAGAGTATGTAAATGTATTCATGAACTCAGCCTGCTAATAGCTTTCTTATAGTCTCAGCGCATTAAACTGAAATACGAAAAACTGATTTTAACATCAGAAAAAAACAGACACTTAAGCTTTAAATGGTCAAAACATATACCGTCTCGCGCCATGTTCCGCGTTTCTGTTGTCTATGTAAATCGATATTGCTCAGGCAAGAGTTTTCTGGGTCATTCACAGCTGGCTCCTGTCCTTGAGCCCAGGGTGAGCAGAAGCCGGGTGTCTAAAGATGCAGACCAACATGACAGTGAGAGCAAGAACAACTGACAGCGAGATCCAGATGCTTGTTCTCTCTACATTAGAGAGAGAGAGAGAGAGAGAGCGTTTCTCTCTAATCCCGCACAGGACCCCGATTTATTTTAAAGCCGCTTTCCAGTCTTAAGCTCACTTTCTGCATCCAAAAGCGCACAGCACTTAGGCTTTCCACTACTCTGTTTACTCTGTCTTCCCATCGTTTACAGTCAACGAAACCCTAAAGTGCCTCTGTTGATGTGGCATCAGTTCTAGGTGTGACTGGAGGTAAACACAGCAGAAGAAAAAAATATGAGATGATGCACCCAGATGAAGGGATTTTTGTTGTGCATCCATCCAATCAAGAGCCAAATTGTATGCATGCCTATGTGTTTTAAAGGAATAGTTCAACTTAAAAATGAAAGATATGCTCATATCAAATCCTGTATTACTTTTTCTTGAGATGAACACAACATCAGATATTTGGGAGAATGTTCACGCTGCTCTTTTCCATACATTGAAAGTGGATGGGGACTGGGGCTGTCAAGCCAGAAAACAAGACTCTTGCACTAAATGTCAAATGATCTGATGTAGTGTTGTTTTTGGCGGCCTGTTTTAATTTTAGTTTTAGTCTAGTC